CTACTTACTACTTACTACTTACTACTTACTACTTACTACTTACTACTTACTACTTACTACTTACTAGTAGTAGTAGTACTACTACTACTACTACTACTACTACTACTACTACTGGTACTACTTCTTTTAAATCACCGTCATCATCATCAGCTTCATGTACAACGTCAACGTAGCCGTAGGCACGGTCGTCGTCGCCAGCACCATGCTCCTCTCATGATCACTTTCGGTCGCATCAAACCACCGTCATGATCCCTAAACCCTAAACCGTTCCAGGCCCTTCAGTGGGTGCAGAAGTGACTTATCTGCGCGAAGAGCTGTTTATGTTACAGGGCCTTGGCCGTCGCTTTCGGGTTTGTTTTGGCTTCAGGTTTCGTGCTGAGCTGTTTTCGTGTTCCTGTGTAGCATCCACTGTGTCGGAATTGACCAAAGGTAGTAATGATTACAGGACGTATTGGGACAGAAAAGGTACGAACAAGTTGAAAAGGACTGAAGCTACCAGCATTACTTTTACCATCGCGGAGACTCAGGGGGCAGCATCCATGACACTCGCAGCCGAAATGAGGACTTGCCCATGATCGTAGTGCCGGTATCCTTCATGATGATACTGCACGTCTTGTGTGATGTAACATGTGGCAGGAATATGACGATGATGGTCACATAAATGAGCAGCCTGCTGATGACACCGAAAATAAGGCATCAAGATTGTCATGCTGATGGTATCACAGGGCTCTAAGGTGGGATGCAGGTAGGTAGGGTAGTCCCCAAATAAGAGTCCTTATGTAAAGGATCCTTAAACCTACCTACCTTCATCCCACCTTTTCAGGCGTAGCATTGGCAAGTAAAGCCTTTGCCCGAAACCCGAAACCCCAAGCCGTAAACCCCAGGAATATCGCTGCCTTCGGTGGCGACCCCAGCCGTGTCACCCTCGTCGGGGAATCTGCCGGAGCCATGTCGATCTGCCCCCGGACAGCACGATATTTTCTGCCGCTACCATCGGGTTTAGGGTTTAGGGTTTCGGGGTTGAGGGTTTAGGGTTTAGCGTTTAGGGTCAAGGGGCTTTCAGAATTCCTTTAAGAGTTCCTTTTTTACGGGCTTCCTTTAGGGCTTCCTTTAGGGGCCTCAATACCCGTACCCGTAAGAAGGATCTGATAAGGCTTATTGAAGGAAGTATAGTCCCCGCCCCTACCCCCCTCCCCCTTACCCC